TTGGGCATCTTGTTTCTGCAAGACACTGAATTGATCGCTGAAGGAAATAGAGAGAGGAATGAGGCAAAATCGCTCAGCTCTGGGGGCTCACAAACTACTAAAATGCTATCAACTGTGAGAGGTACCATCATTCTATATAACACAAAGAAGTAGAAAAACAAAACCCCGCCAAGCAATTATGTCATTGCATTGACTGTAGGATGCATGCCTATTTCAGAGATGTTTAAACGTGAACACTGTTTATCCTAGAATCTGTGAAATACTGTATTTTGGAAGTCTAATGCAAGCTCTGCTATAATAAGTTCTACCAAAGGTGCCATCGCCCTGAGAACACAGAGGGAAATATTCATTTTGACTAGAAAATCAGAGAATGCTTATAAAGAGGAAACAGTTGTGTGAACCCTTGAAAGTAGACCAGAGTTTAGACTTAAGCAGAAAGGCTGCATAGGAAAGCTTTATTGGAAGGGAGAACAGATGCTGAAGAGTTCAGAGAACACAAGCATCATGTGAGTGAACAACAGGCCACCTGGGAAATAACGAGGAGCCAGTGAAACAGGTGACAATTTGGAAATTTTGACCAGAGATGTGCTGAGCCAGGTGAAAAATTTCAAAAGATTTGGCTGAAAACCAATGATTTGACTCTTGAACTTCTCAGCATGTCACAGTGTAAAAGAGCTAAAAAAAATGAAAAAAAAAAAAAAAGTCAGATTACAGAGGAGAATTTCCTTGGAGACACCTGTCCCGGGGGACCTTTCTCTGTGCCATGTTCTTTTCTCACATCAAATTTAGCAAGGGGATTTAGTTTTTAAAAAAGGGGATTTAGTTTTAAAAAAAAATTTAGTTTTTTTTTTTAAAGATTTTATTTATTTATTTGAGAGAGAGAGAGAGAGAGAGAGAGAGAGTGCATGAGCAGGGGGAGGGACAGAGGGAGAAGCAGGCTTCCCTCGGAGCAGGGAGCCCGGCTGGGCCTGGATCCCAGGACCCCAGGATCATGACCTGAGCTGAAGGCAGACACTTAACCAACTGAGCCACCCAGGTGCCCCTAGCAGGGGGACTTTAATGGGGCAACTTACAGGGCTTAAGTTATGTGGACTCTGCCAATAGTTTACACAGCAAAGTAGTCCTCTTCAAGCCAGTCAGGTGCTTATAAATTTGAAGGACCAGGCATGGAACCTGAGATTGGTTGTTAGTTTAAAAAGGATCCATTCCAGATAGCGGCCTTACAAAACAAGTGGACCCAGGTTTTAAGGGGCTGTTGGGGAGCACTGCAAGCTGAAAGAAATTTGGGGAAGTTGGCTGAAGGAGAAGCCCTGCTTACACACAGGAATACGCATTCGAAGGAAGAGGCAGCTTTAAACATTGGCCAGGATCAGAAGCATGAGATGTTTTATTTTATTTTATTATTTATTTATTTTTAAAAATCCCTATTATTGAAATACAGTTGACATACAATGTTATATTAGTTTCAGGTCCACAACATAATGACATGACAATTCTATACATTACACACTGCTCACCATGATAGGTATAGTTGCCATCGGTCACCATACAACATTATTACACTGTTATTGATTATATTCCCTATCGTGTACTTTTCTGTGACTTACTTATTTTAGAGCTGGAAGTCTGTACCTCTTAATCCACTTCACCTATTTCACCCATCTCCCTACCTACCTCCCCTCTGGCAACCACCAAGCTTATTCTTTGTATTTTTGAGTCTGTTTCTGTTTTGTTTGTTCGTTTGTGTAATTTTTAAATTCCACATATAAGTAAAATTGTATGGTATTTGTCTTTCTCTGTTTTATTTCACTTAGTGTAACACGCTCTAGGTCCACCCATGTTGTCACAAATGGCAAGATCTCAGTTTTTTTATGGCTAATACTCTCTCTCTCTCTCTCTCTATATATATGTATTTATCTATATATCACATCTTCTTCATCCATTCATCTATCAGTGGACAACTGAGGTTGCTTCCATATCTTGGCTATTGTAAATAAGGCTGCAATAAACATAGGAGTGCATATATCTTTTCAAATTAGTGTTTCCGTTTTCTTTGGATAAATACTCAGAAGTGAAATCAGTAGGTCATATGGTATTTCTATTTTTAATTTTTTGGGAAACCCATACTGTTCTCCACAGTAGCTGTACCAATTTACATTCCCATCAACAGTGCACAAGGGTTCCTTTTTCTTTGCATCCTCACTGGCGTTTGTTATTTATTGTCTTTTTGGTACTAGCCATTCCGACAGGTGTGAGGTGATATCTCATTATGGTTTTGATTTGCATTTCTTTGATGATTAGTGATGTTGAGCATTTTTCATGTGTCTGTTGGCCACCCATATGTCTTCTTTGGAAAAATGTCTATTCAGGTCCTCTGCCCATTTTTAAATCAGATTTTTGGTTTTTTGGTGTTGAGTTGCATAAATTCTTTATATATATAAACTGGCTATTAACCCCTTGTCAGATATATCATTTGTAAATATCTTCTACCATCCAATAAGTTGCCTTTTCATTTTGTTGGTTTCCTTTGCTATGCAAAAAAAACTCAACCACTTTCTTACACCATACACAAAAATAAACTCAAAATGGACTAAAGACCTAAATGTGAGACCTGAAACCATAAAAGTCCTAAAAGAAAACATAGACAATAATCCTTTGGACATCGCCCTTAGACACATATTTATGGATATGTCTCCTCAGACAAGAGAAACAAAAGCAAAAATAAACAATTGGGACTACACCAAAATAAAAAGCTTTTACACAGTGAAGGAAACCATCACAGAGCCATCTTATTTCAGGATGGTCAGATGAGAGCTTGCCTTTTCCCTTACCTCTCTTTCCTACTCCATGTTCTACCTTAGCAAGGTCAGAAACAGCAGCTGACTAAGTGAGGGAGGAAGTGCATGAGACAAAAGGGGAATCTTCTTCTCCCTTTTCTCCTGCAAACAGTAGTTTATCCCAGGACCCAGTTAGGGGAAAGAAAGAAATTTACCATTACATTAACGTTAGAGATTTGATTGACATATTCAACTGGCAAATTTAGTCACTGAATTCAGATCATGATTATAACTTAAAGGGAGTTTAGAAAGAAAAGAAAGAAAGAAAAAAAATTGCCATGAGATTGTCTAAGTTTTCATTTGGAGTAGGGGACAGAATATTTACATTGAACAGTTTAAAAAGATGGTGAAAGATAAAAAGCAAGTTACTTTTATAATAACAACCCATTAATTCTGCTGTTTAACTTATAGGTTACACAAGGTAAAGGAAGAGTTTAGACCAGATGGCATAGAACCTACTAAGAATTCTGGATTTTATTCTGTAAACTGGTGGAGAGACATCAAAGGGTTTTGAGCAGGGACCACCGGAATCTCCTCCATGTGTTATAGAGTTTCAGTCCTTTGCATTAAAGTATTGTGTTTCCTTACATTGTGCACTTACAGAACTGTGCTGTGTCATGCATAACTTTCAGTACTGAAAGTGTACATTACACTCTTGAGAAGGTTGATATTAAACCTAAGTAAAATATCTGTGCTATCACAATAATTTGGGTTGTCTTTACAGAACAGATAAAAGGACCAAGTAGTATAGGAAGGTTGGCAACAAATGAACATATAGAACAGACACAAAGGGTCCATATAAACAAAATGGATGGTGTAATGGTTCACTATGAGCACAACGGTCCTATATAACTGAACCCACAAGTCCTCAGAGTCATACAACAACAAGCTTTCACTTAGTTAACATGGTTGTGGGTTGGCTGAGGTCGACTCATTCAGGCTGAGCTCAACTGGGGCAACTCAACTCTGCTTCATGAGTTGCTCATCTTTCTCACAGGCCTAGAAGGGTATGCCAGATGTATTATTTCAGAGTCATGGCAGAGGTGCAAGAGGACAGGTAGAAGCACCAAAAAGCTGGTTCAGCCTTAGGTCATGACATGCCTGCTAACCCTCCACAGGTCAACTCAAGTCACATAGCCACAGCTAAGCTAAGGGTTGAGAAAATAGCACATACTTTTTGTGGGAGTAACTGCAAAGTCTCGTGGTATGATGGTTGATTTTATGTGTCAACTAGACTGGATCACAGAGTGCCCAGACATTTAGTCGAACGTTATCCTGGTGTGTCTGAGGGTGGTTTCCAGATGAGGTTAATATTTCAATTGGACTTCGACACGTGGCAAAGGGGTGAAGAATCAGGGCCGTTAATGCAACCTACCCAGGTGGTTGCCTAAATCAGTACCATTTAAAAAAGTAGATAAAGATAGAGAAGGATGTTCAAAATGTAACACACGAACACACCCCCATGTACACATGTGTACGTACACATACACAGTTATCATGCAACAGATGCCACAGTTTGGTCAAGAGCACCAACAGTAGTATTACTACCTTGGGCCCTGTGAGGACAGAGACCTTCGTAGTGAAAAGCTAAGCAAAGACTGACAGGGAAACTATGCGTTCTTCTTCAACAGCAGCACAATTAAGGCAAATTCAGGCAGATGGGGGCTGAGGCGGTAGGTATTTCTATGTTTTTTCTTCTGTATTCACTGTAGGACTGGCTACTAGAGGCTCCTTGGGAGCTCTGTGTGTTGATTAGATATCCGTTAGAAGTTTGGGTATGAAGGCATCTGGGTTAGGCAGGGGAGACAGATTCCAGGGCTTTGCCTGAGGTTTCCTTCTGAGGGACTCTCTCCAAGGGTCTCATGCTTCAGGGCTTAGAGAACCAGCTGGGGTTGGACCTGGTTGAAGGGCCAGGAAGGGCAAAGTGCAGAGCACTGCCGGTCCCCTGCCACTGCCCTCACTTGTGACACATCCCACGCCACTTGTACTGAGCTGTAGATCTGTTTTGTCTAACAGTTTTTCCCATTCGTGCCCTATTATTTATTTTAGCTATCTTTATTTTCTTCTTTATTTTGATTTTTTTCTTTTACCATTTTATCATCTTGTTCCTTTTGATCAAGTTGTGATTATCTACTTTTTTTAAGTTTTACGTTTCTTTTTTAGCCTCGCTTTTATAAATGGCCACCAGAAGCTAACATCTCCAGGAACAAGAGCTGCACGTATGGGCTGTGACCCAGCCTTCCTCCCCACGTCAGGGCAACTCCCCGCAGCCGGCGCCACGTCTTCAGGAGCTCCACCTTGCGATGAGACACAAACACACCGCAGCTAGACTGCTGCAAGGCAGGTCCAGGAATGCAAGGGTACTTTCTCTCTTTATCTGTAACCTGCTCTGTCTAAAGCAGAAGATTTATAAGACCCCCCACCCCACGTCTTCATGAAGGTAAGTGGGAGGTGAGGGAGTGGAAATCTGGATCCCTCAGGAGGGCTACCAGGGGACAACTTGCTCCGACTCCCCTGCCAGGGCTGTGGGTGTTCTCTGTCCAAGCCGACTCCATCAGTCTTTAGCGTAGGCTGTCTGACACTGGCTGTATTTACCATGGATTATCTTGGGGTTCTTCTAAAAGACTGTGAATTTTATTGTTTCAGTCAAAGGATTCCTTACCAGGAGGTGGGGACTATAATGCAAACTACCTGGAGCCCAGTTCTGGGGGCTCATTTGGACCAGCGGGATATAGAAGCGGGTCTTCTTCTTCTTCTTCTTTTTAAGATTTTATTTATTTATTTGACAGAGAGAGAGAGAGCACAAGCAGGGGCAGCAGCAGAGTGAGAAGCAGGCTCCCCACTGAGCACGGAGCCCGCTGCAGGACTCAATCCCAGGACCCTGGGATCATGACCTGAGCTGAAGGCAGATGCTTAACCGACTGAGCCACCCAGGTGCCCCCAGTAGAAGCGAGTCTTCTTACATCTGAGTCTTTTGAGCACAGTTTGTCAATGCTATCTCACTTAAGTATCTAAAAAGGAAGGAAAATTAAATACTATTATAATGGGCATGGTGAGAGGAGACCAACCTTCCAAAGCAAATCCTAGTTTTCTGTCACCTACTCTGTGCCTCAGTTTCCTCATCTGTATAATGGTGAGAATGATATTACCTACCTTATCAGGTTTCTGTGAGGAAGAAATGTTACTATGATAGACAGTGCAAAAATATTTGTTCAATTAAGATTCATGCATACATATGTACTTACATGGGCTGTTATGTATTGCTTCATGACCAGTAATGACAGGACAAGAATGAGACTTGCCTTCTCTCTGAGACCTAGAAAGCCAGCTCAGGGAAGAGGTGATTATCTGCAACCAAGGAGAGAGGTCTCACCAGAAATTAACTCTGCCGGCACCCTGATCCTGGACTTCCAGCCTCCAGAACTATGAGAAAATAAATTCCTGTTGTTTAAGTCACCCAGTCTGCAGTATTCTGTCATGGCGATCTGAGCAGGCATACTTCTGGTGTATCTTCCTCTCCTTATAAGGACACCAGTCCTATTGGATTAGGGCCCCCATCCTTATGAGCTCATTTAACTTTAGTTACCTCTTGACAGGCTCTGTCTCCAAGTATAGTTATATTGAGGGTTAGAACTTCCACACACGTATTCGGGGGGGAGGGAGGGGCACAATTTGGCCCACAGTACCATTCAAACACTACTTCCTTAAATACATACAGATGAGTAGAAATCCTTGCTATACACTCAAAATTATTAATAATTTTAAATTTATGTGTTTAATGGTTATCTCGCCTAGTAGACTGAGTTCAATGAGGGCAGGGACAGTGTCTATCTTCCTTGTCAGTATATACCCAATTCCCAGCATAGTGCCTTGCACATGAAAGGTATGCAATAAATATTTATTTAATGAATAAATGGATTCATACTGCCATGCTTCTGTTTAAAAAAAAAAAAGTTTTGGATGTCACCACCTTCCCATATTGAGCCAGAGATCCTCTTGCCCTTTGGATACTTCCTTTGGACCAGCTAGATGCTCTCAAATATAGTGGGTTTTACAGCTGTTCAGGTCTCCTCAATTCCTATCTTACATAACCCTGCTTTACTTACTTTTCACAACGTGCCAGGAAAGAAAGGAGAAAAACATGCTTCTCAAAAAAAATCACACACCAGTTTTACTTGATAAAGTGGCCCATTTCAGATGGCCAGCTGTTCTCTGAGATTCTTCCTCTCAACCCTCTGCCTGCAGTGTCTCTGCTACCTATGAAGTATCTCTTGAAAGCACCTGACCCTCACCTCCTCTGCTTTCCTATTTTCTCTCATCACCTTTTCCTACATTTCTGGTTATCCTAACTAGAGTTATCTATTTCTCCCTGAAATGTCAATCTGTTCTCCCATGTTGTAACCATGCTGTTTGGATAAAAACCAAAGTAATTAACACAACAAGTCCCCCAAATCCCTAAATGGCTGCCCTCTGCCTATTTAGTAGCCTAATCTTGTGCTCTCCATTGCTCTCAGCACCAAGTTCAAACTCATAAAGACAGTTTATGAAGCCGTTTAAAAGCTGGACTTTTAACTGTCCAGTCTCATCTTTCACCAGCTCAAATTACTTCCTTTCTTCTCAATTCCCCTAGCACTTTCTCATCTACAGCCTTCGTAATGTAATTCCCTTTTTCTGGAATCCTTTCTCAGTTATCCATCTGGCTAACTCCACTTCTCTTGCATGCCACTCCACAGATGGCACTTCCTCCAGAAAAACCTCTCCATTCCCCAAATATGGGTCTGGGATCCAACACCTTATCCTTTTCCATCAGAGCAGTCATTATAAAACATCATTTCCTATCAATAAGGCTACTATTCTCCACTCAATCTAATTTAATTTTTCAGTTGTGGGGGAATTAAAATAATGTGTGCATACGTCCTGAAATCCATGGCAACAAAAGACAGCTGGATCTAGAAGCAACTGGAATCAGTAGATGGAAAGCCATTGAAAACTAAGCCAACCATTTCTTAGATACTGCGCTTCTTCCCCATTGTGTCCCTGCTCCTCTCTTTATTCTTTAATGTTCTTATTTCCCTGCAGATTAGTTTCTTTGACCTCATTATGAGGCAAAAGTTGGCCTCCCTGTAGTTCTTGGCTTTTCATGTCCTTCGTTCCAACTTGACAGAGAAACAGATCAGGATAAAATTCTGATGGCCCAGCATGGGCAGGTGTCTGCTACTAATCCAAATATCTCTAGCCAGTGAAGCAAAGTCATATCATATGAACTTCTGTTAGAAACCTCAAATTTGGGGGTTGAAAAACAAATCTCAGAAATTTGCCTCTTGCTGGCCTTAACAGTGCCTTTGTGTGAATTAGAAAAAGCTGCCCTTCCACTGCAAAAGTTTAGTCCTGAATGTGGTGAAAATTATTATAAGGAAATATATATATATATATCTGTCTGTCTATAATGAATAGAATGTAAATAGTACTCCCTAGATTTACAAGCTGTACAAATGTACCTATAAGCCCTGGTTGGGGTTCTCAACCAAGCAAACACCTCAACTAAACAGATACCTCAAATAACTTTCTGTATTAAGTATTAAAAAATGAAAGCTATTATTGGCAACAATACTTCTATTTTGCAAATTGATTCAATCAAGTATTGCACAAAAGAAAGCTAAATTTATTGTATGAGATTGTAGAGAAAAAATAGTCTATTTACACCAAACATATATTTGTTAGAAGGACCTCTCAGAGGTCATTTGTAAAAATGCGTGTGTTATATGTACTGATCAAATTAGAAGATGATATTTTGATTGTTAATTCTAATTGTCAGTCACTAGAAGCCATGCTGGATGGAATTAGAAACTTATTCTATTTGAATCTTATGGGCTCAAAAACTCTACTAATTAAATGTGGCTCAATATCACATCTAACCTATTATCACTGTCTTTCTCCAATCGCCAAATTATGAAACTTCCTTTCAACAATCATATTTGTTTATGATTTTTTTGTGCTCGGTTGGTAACACACACACACACACACTCCTTGTTATGGTTTAATCTGAAGATTACTTGCTGTTCTTTCTTGATAGTAGATGATGGGGTAAACAAGTTACAGAACATGATTTGGCATATGGAAAAAACTAAGGAGTTGAGAAACCAAGGCACCATACTAGTTGGCAGGAAGGGAGATGGTAGCAGATTTGAAATATTTTAGAAAGAATGTTGAATAATGGGTAAGAGATGATTACCAAGGGCTTATGTTGTCTTCTGCAAACACGACTCATACAATTACGCTTCTTTTAAAGAAAATAAGAGCTAGCACAATGCCATAACAACACTCAAATAAAAATAATGAAATCTTAATGCTGATGTGAAGGAGCAGTGCATGAAAGATTAACTGATCAACTGAACTTAAAGTTAGAAATGCAGATAATCTGAATAGGTTCTGAAGTAGGTGAAGTCAGAGGCCCCAGTCTCCTCTGGGTTTGCTCATTTGCTGTGCGGCAGTCATGTTATAGACCACATTCAAGTCTCTAATGCACAGACATATTTGACAGTCTTCATAACATGCCTCTTAAATGGACTTTACTGGTAAAAAAAGGAATGCTGAAAACTTCCTTAAGCAAATTGCTGGCTAAGCTTCCTCCAGTCTGAGAGTGAGAGGGTTAAGTGTTGTGATCATAAACCATACAGTAATTGCTCTCAGACCTATTAGCAGAATGTCTTGCATAGAGTGTCATCCTGCCATTCCCCATGGGTCCTGTTCACTAACCCCTTGCATTTTGATGGTTATTATCATCCAAGCACAAAACATCATTGCTACAACACAGAGCTATCCGCATAGTAATGTATCAACATTAACTTGGTTCCTGAAAATAATTGTTAAAATCCTGATTTTAATTGAAACATGGGATGAGAAAGCCAAGCTTTTATATTTATTCTTAAAGGATGCTAACAATATTAATTTCTGCTGAGATCACAAGAAACACAACTATGTGCATCCTCTTCTGAGGCAACATTGCCACGTTTATAGGAACTCAGGAGTCCTGGCATACTGCTTGTACACTCACTTCGAGAATATTGCTTGCACATCTGGCTCTTTTTAGGATTTTGTGACATGTAAATCATATACTGAGAACTTCGGGGATGCGGATTTTTCAGCAAAATGACGTCTTCTTTCCTAGCTCTTTTGCCATGATGCTTGCATTATAAAACCGCCCCTTTTATCAATATTTTGTAGCTCTCCTTTTTTCTTACAGATTTCTTCATTTATAGACTCAGGTCTATTGGCTTTTTTTTTTTTTCTACTCCTTAATTTTATTAGAAGGATTGACCATTTTAAACAAAGAGTTTTCTGTTTAGTGAATTTGAATCCTCATTTGTTCTTTCATTAAATAAATATTTATTTTGCTCAACTTTTAAAATAACTGTCCAGAATTCATTTGTTTTTTTATTC